ATAAACAAGCTTGTGGTGCTATCAAGCTTTCGTCCACACGGTGGCACGATCGTCTAGGACATGCCTCTTTTTCTCTAGTTGAAAAGTTACTTAGGAAAAATAAGCTCCCGTTTGTTGGTGAGCTAAATATTGAAACTATTTATGATTCATGTCAGTGTGCTAAAAGTCATCAATTACCATATCCCATATCTACTAGTGTCTCCACTAAACCTTTGCAACTGATTTTCTCTGATGTGTGGGGGCCTGCTCCCTCCTCTGTTGGTAGACACACCTACTATGTGAGTTTCATCGATGACTATAGCAAGTTCTCATGGATCTATCTTCTTAAAAAAAGGTCCGATGTGTTTCAAGTGTTTAAAAACTTCCAAGCACTTGTTGAAAGAAAGTTTGACAGCAAAATCCTAGCTGTCCAATCCGATCGGGGAGGGGAATACGAGAAACTCAATTCCTTCTTCCAAAACATAGGCATATCCCACCATGTGTCATGCCCACACGCTCACCAACAAAACGGGTCGGCCGAACGCAAGCATAGACACATAGTTGAGGTCGGTTTGGCTCTTCTAGCAGGGGCGTCCATGCCCCTCAAATTTTGGGACGAGGCATTTCTTATAGCTGTCCATATCATCAACATGCTTCCTAGCCGTGTCATCAATAATGAAACACCTATGGAACGCCTCCTCCATGTCAAACCAGACTACACATCTCTCCGTGTTTTTGGTTGTGCCTGTTGGCCAAATCTCCGTCCGTACAATAGCCGCAAGCTTATGTATAGGTCCAAACAATGTGCTTTTCTTGGCTATAGTGCCCAGCACAAAGGCGTCAAGTGCCTTGACATCTCCACCGGACGGGTTTACATCTCACGCGATGTCGTGTTCGATGAGACCAAATTTCCTTTTGCCAATCTACATCCTAATGCCGGAGCTCTCTTACGCAAGGAAATCTTGCTTTTACCACCTCACCTCTCTGGCTATGATCAAGGGGGCATTAATAATTGTGATGATCATATGACTAACCCTAACCCTACTACTAATAGCCTTTATGAGCCTTGTGGTGATGCAGGAAGAATTCGTGAAGAAATCATCGAAAATAGCGAAGAAAATACGGCAGCAGATCCATATTCTATGTGCCCTGAGCTGGGGAGCAAATCTCCCTTGGGATCTGCCCAGGAGTTGCTGTGCAGCGAATCCACCTTGGGATCGGTGCCCCGCAGCGATCCTGCCGCGACAGCTCCGACAGCTGCAGGTGGACACGCTGAGCCGCCCGCGTCAGCCACGCGGCAGAATCCGGATGGCCGCGACAACTCCCCTCGTCCACACCAATCACCGTCCAGCAGATGGCAGGCTGGTGCTGGCCTGGGCCATGCGTGGCCTGAGGCCCAACCAGTCGTCTACAAGCGGCGGGCAGCGACTCGCCGGGCTGAGGCGGGGACGAGGCCGGATGAGGCCGGGCCCAGGCAATCACGAGGCAATGATGACGCGGCTCGGCCCAGATCCTCTGTGGCTGGTTTGCCGCTTGCGTCGCAGCGGACGACCGCAGAAGATCCCGACCAACCTGACGTCGCCGACACTACCGGTTCTGGAGCCGTGTCAGGATCCTCCTTGGGATCGGGGGGAGATCAGCCAGATCCAGGCGTGGGATCCTCTGCGCCGGGGCTCTCTGTAGTGGCTCCTGCTACTGCTCCACGCCGCACACGGCTACAGCAAGGCAAAATTAAACCTGTTGATTATAAACATATTACAAAACATGGGATGATTTGTTCAACAGGTGAACCAGGAGAACCTAACACTCTTGAAGAAGCACTTGGTGATGCTAATTGGAGAAAGGCAATGAATGATGAAATTGTGGCACTAAGGAAAAATAAAACATGGCACTTGGTCCCTTCAAGAAAAGGTAAAAATCTTATTGACTGTAAGTGGGTCTTTGGGATAAAAAGAAAAGCTGATGGAACCATTGATCGTTACAAAGCCAGACTCGTTGCAAAGGGATTCAAACAAAGGTATGGTATTGATTATGAGGACACATTTAGTCCAGTTGTTAAATCTGCTACCATACGCCTTGTCTTGTCCATTGCTGTGTCTAGGGGATGGAGTTTACGACAGCTAGACATTCAGAACGCGTTCCTCCATGGTGTTCTAGAAGAAGAGGTTTACATGAAACAACCTCCTGGGTTTGTAAATGCACAGGCACCACTTCATGTTTGCAAACTTGACAAGGCGTTGTATGGACTGAAACAAGCCCCAAGAGCATGGTATTCTCGCCTTAGTAAAAAGATGCAAACACTTGGTTTTGTTCCTTCAAAGTCTGACACTTCGTTATTTATCTATAACAAGTCTAGAATATCCATATTTGTCCTTATTTATGTTGATGATATAATTGTAACAAGTTCATCTGATGAAGCAATAACAGCACTGTTGAAGGATTTAAGTGCAGAGTTTGCTTTAAAGGATCTAGGAGATCTACACTACTTTCTTGGTATTGAGGTCAAGCAACACAAGGATGGTCTACACCTCTCTCAAGAAAAGTATGCAACAGACTTGGTAAAAAAGGCTGGTTTGCAAAATTGTAAGTCTGCACCTACTCCTTTGTCTAGCACAGAAAAATTGTCTCTTGTTGAAGGAGAGCCTCTGAATTCAGAAAATAGTACAAAATACAGGAGTCTGGTAGGTGCACTTCAATACTTAACATTGACTAGACCAGATATTTCTTTTGCTGTCAATAAAGTATGTCAGTTTCTTCATGCACCTACCACTGTTCACATGACTGCTGCAAAACGTATAGTGAGATATGTGAAAAATACGTTGAACATTGGTCTAAACTTCAGCAAGTCATCTTCTGCACTTGTCAGTGCATTTTCTGACTCAGACTGGGCCGGATGTCTAGATGATAGACGCTCGACTGGTGGTTTTGCGGTATTCTTTGGACCAAATTTGATATCTTGGAGTGCAAGAAAGCAAGCCACAGTTTCAAGATCCAGTACAGAGGCAGAATACAAAGCATTGGCTAATGCAACAGCAGAGATCATATGGGTGCAGTCAATTTTAAAGGAACTAGGTATAAAAAGCACTAGAGCTCCATGTTTGTGGTGTGATAATCTAGGTGCTACCTATTTGTCAGCAAATCCAGTCTTTCATGCTAGGACCAAGCATATTGAAATTGACTTTCACTTTGTTCGAGAAAGAGTTGCAAACAAGCTTCTGGATATTCGGTTTATTCATTCTCAAGACCAAGTTGCTGATGGCTTTACCAAAGCTCTGCCTACAAGAAGTTTTGAAGACTTCAAGCATAATCTCAATCTAATGAAGTTGTGATTAAGGGAGGGTGTCAAACATGATAATGTTGCGCATGCATTGCGTGTACAAGGAGGAGTTCACCACCGTTGGAAGTAGTTAGTTGGATAAGTATCTTGTAATCTTTATCTTCTTATCTCTAGCTTTTCTTCCTTCCCAAAATGTAATCTCCTAACCAATTTGTACGCGTATTTGGGCTCGCAACCCCTCTATATAACATGCAACACGTCTGCCAGGATAGGCAAGACGTTTACCGCAATCGCACACAGGTAAGCTGTTAAAAAGCATCAAATCACACGCTTGCCACCATGCTCGACCACCATCGTGTATTGGCTAGGCAAAGACCTCGACCCACTCACAACTGACAGTCCGTTTATTAAGATAAGATGGGTACGTTGTTCAAGCATGAGGAAACCACATGCTTTACCTCTTAGATCCAATCAAGCACGACAACTTTCTAGCCGTTTGTGTGCCGCAGAATAAAATAAAGTACTACAAAGTTAACCGGTTGTTTCAAGCATCATACTCTTGGGAGGGTAAATGAAAACAATTAATGTTAACTACACTTTCTTGGGAAGGCAGCAGGCTTGGTTAATTTACAGGAGAAGTAACAAACCCTGTGCCTCCACTGAGGCCTTGTTGACTCACAACTCGTTCTGGCCGTGCCCCTAAACCAACCACATACACCACAGGCGACCGGCGATCTCTTTCACGCCCCAGCCTCCTCCGCCGTTCCCATCCTTTGCGGTCGGCAGTCTGCACTCTGCACAAGCCGCCTCTCGACAGACCGGATGAGCGGAGTGGTGCACTGAAGTGGACAAGGCAGCGTGCTCCATCGCTCGATCCCCTTGGTTACTCTCTCTCTCTCTCTCTCTCTCTCTCTCTCTCTCTCTCTCCAGGGCCGAGCCGGCAAAATCCGAGGCCCTGTGCCAAACTCGAAAATGGGCCTTACCTCACCAAATCCTTGATTTTATTTTGTTTCTTTCTACGCTTTTGGTAACCAGATTCATGTTCTCTAATCAAAGACATGACTTGGATCATGCAATACGAGACGCTTAATAGATGAAAAAATTAATAGCTAGAAGATTTTTGCAGAACTAAATAGCGGATGTAAATCGCAACTCACAATCAAGGCCTCACGTGATCGCCGGTTATCAAAGCGACGACGCTTAAGAAATTGGAGATCGGAAGATGGCTTGAACCTTCCATTCCTTCATGTCCTCCCTGCCGCGCTGCCGTTCGTGGTCCTGCTCTCCTGGAGGAGACCGAAGAATGGATATAACCTACAATTTAGCTTAACTCGGCCGCCGGAGGAGAAAATCAAGAGATTGGCTTTGTTCGTCTCAATGGATCGCTGGATTTTTTTTCTTAGGCAGATCGATCACTTTTTTTGAGAGAAGGCAGATCGATCGCTGGAAGATCGATCGCTGGATGAGGCGCACGTCCCAATTGGGGCCTGTTTCACCCAGAGGAAAGACGGAAGGAGGCCCGTGTACAAAGGATAAAAGACCCAGCCAATTGGACTTTGCCTAGCCGTGCGTACAAAATCTGAGGCCCCTGAAAACTGGGGGCCCTGTGCCGGCGCACAGGTTGCACCCCCATGGGCTCGGGCCTCTCTCTCTCTCTCTCTCTCTCTCTCTCAATGCATTTTTTGCGGTAAAGCAACTGCTCACTTGTTCTTGCTCACGCCAGGTTGATTCTTGGCAAGGAACAATGGCCGAGTCCGCTATTGGCATCGTTCTAGGGAATGTGAACAATCTTGCTGTTCGGGAGACCAGTCTCTTATGTGGTGTCACTCTTGAAGTGACCTTCCTGAAAGATGAGCTGATGCAGCTGCAGGGCTACCTCAAAGACGCTGAGAGAAAACGAAGATCTGGAAATGCAACAGTTGCTATCTTGGTGAGCCAGATCAGGGATGTTGCATATGAGGCTGAGAATGTCATCGAAGCTGCAGATTACATGAAGAAGAGAAACATGATCAAGAAGGGCTTCATGGGAGCAATTTCCAGGTATGCTCGCTTACCGAGTGACTTGAATACCCTTCATAAAATTGCTATTGAAATTCAGCGTATAAGAAGGAAGCTTGTCGAGCTATTTCAGAGCATAGAACGCTTGAATATTGATTTGGATAGTCATGTTATGGATGATTCCGTAGAAGATTGTGGCCTTATGCACCAGAACTGTAAGGATGATGTTACAATGATTGGTTTTGAGGACGAGTACAAAGAAATAGTGGATAAACTAGTGGAGGGAGAAAATATGCTTAGTGTTGTCTCCATAATTGCAATGGGTGGGGCAGGAAAGACAACACTTGCTAGAAAAGTATACACTTCATCTGGAGTGAAACAACACTTTGAGTCACTTGTTTGGATAACTGTATCTCAAAAGTTCAAGGTCATTGATTTATTAAAGGAGATTTTGAAGCAAATACCGAGTGACGGCGACCAGTCTGCAAAAATTGATGACATGAATGAGTATGAGGTGGGAAAGAAGATCCGTGATATCCTCATCCAGAAAAGATACTTGCTAGTTCTTGATGATGTGTGGGAAACAGACACATGGGAGAAAATAAATAGAACAATCAAGGCCTTTCCAGATGCAGCTAACTATAGTAGAGTCCTGCTAACCACAAGAAAAGAAGATGTTGCCAATCATGTTGATATGCCAACCCATATTCATGCTTTGAGGAGTTTAGATGAAGAGAAAAGTTGGTTACTTTTTAGTAGCAAAGCTTTACCTTCATACAAAATATCAGGCATACGTGATCTGGATAAATATGAAGAGTTGGGAAGAAAGCTTACAAGGAAATGTGATGGATTACCACTTGCACTTGCAGTCTTAGGGGGTTACCTATCAAAGAACCTCAACACACAAGCATAGTCTGATGTGCTACTGTGTTGGCCATCAACCAAGGACACACAGATGATGCGAGGCATAATTGCGCGCAGTTACAAGGACCTACCAAATCACTATTTAAGATCTTGTGTGCTCTATCTTGCTGTTTTTCCCGAGGATTACATAATATCTGTGTCAGCTCTTATTAATCTGTGGATAGCAGAAGGCTTCATTCCACATACACCTAAGCATACCTTGGAAAAAACAGCTCGTATGTATGTAACTGAGTTGGCTCAAAGAAGCTTGGTGCAAGTTGTCAGAACAAGCAGTATACATGGGTGGATTGAGAAAATAAGGATTCATGATATCCTACGTGACTGGTGCATAGAAAAGGCAAACCAAGATGGTTTCCTTGATGTCATCTATGAAACTACTAGTGGTGAGCTACCTTCCCCTCGTTAATTGAATCTGTAAATACATTAATTACTCGTATAATGTGTGCGTGTGGCCTTTTGCTAGAGCTCTTTTATGGTACCCCGCGTCAAATATTAGCCATCCATTCTTCAAATCTAATGGTAACGATCGATCTATACTGCTCCAATTTGCCAATAGAATCGCGAGCGGTATAGCTTGCACCGCTTCTCTCCCGTCCTCCAGTATACAAATCGCTAGGGCATTTTGGGAGTAAATAGTTTCAGCTCGCCCGTCTCGCCCTCTGGGGACTGGTCCGCCGTGACGAGGCCGGCTGGGCCGGCAAGGTGCAGCACCTTCGAACCGACTTTTAGGCCTTCCGGACATCCGATGCCTCCTGGCGCACGCTGCTCGCCAACGACGGCGGCCGGCCATGCCAGGCAGGCGAGACCATGGCGGCTGGCTGCGGGCTGCCCCGGCCTGCCCTTTCGGATCACGCTGTCCGCGGACGGTGGCGAGGTGACCCGAGGCTGCGGGACTGCTTGCGTGCGGGAGGCGGGAGCGGACGAGCAGCTACGGCGGGGCTGCTTGCGTGCGGGAGGCGGGAGCGAACGAGCAGCTGCTGCGGTGCTGTGGGGCGTGCACGACGGCTGTTGCTGCAGGCGTGGAGCGCGAACGGGCGCGCGCGTGGCTGGGTGTGTGCATGCGAGCCGAGCTCCAGTGACTCGTCCATGGCGGACAGGGCGCCGGCTTCAGCGAGACGACGCTACTGTAAATGAAAACGACGGGAACGAATAAGATGAGCTCGAGGGGGAGGTCGTGGTCGAGGACGACGGCTCGGGGGGCGCCTCCGTCCAGCAACCAGAGCAGGAGGTCGAAGGAGACTGTGGAGGAGTTGTGGCACATGCAGGCGGAGCTTGCCGTCTTGGTTTCCCATCGCCAATATCCGCTGACCGACGACGTCGCTAAGGTTTCCATGACAGAAAATCTATGTCTATCCTACCCTCGGGAAATCAGCGGTCAGATTTTAATATACCACTTCCTCGCCTGTTAGCAGCATAGGGTACCGTAAAAACTCTCTTTTGCTAACATATATATGGACTAACGAAATGCAGGACAAGCTGGTGCATCATCATCTCATAACCAGATATTCTATCGTTCTTCTTTCCAAAACTTGAGTGGGCAGATCTTGCAGGCATTACCTAATCTCAGAGCTTTGTTTGGCTTTGGACTTTCATCAGTATCTTTTCCTGAGCTAAGGTTCCTAAGAGTTCTTCATGTCGAGAACTCGAGCCTAGAGAATTTCTCGGAAGTAATTGTTGGGTGCATTCACCTACGACACCTGAGTTTGAGAAGATGTGGACACGTGAAGGTTCCTTCTTCAATCAGAAAACTCATTTATCTGCAAACTATAGATCTACCATGTTTAGATGTATCAAGCTCCCTCTGGAATATACCCACTATAAGATATGCACATCTTTTTATTTCTCTGCCAAGGCGTGTGCAAATTCCACAAATCCTACAGGAGCTTTGTATCTGGGCTACTAAGGATGAAATGTATAAAGACCCGATGCCGATCCTGGAGATGCTTCCTTGTCTTGTGGTGCGGGAGTTACTTCATTATGGACCCAAAACAATGTCGTTTGGTGTCCAAGGGTTCCCTCGTCTGCAAGAGTTACGACTTGAGGACTGTGAATTTAACAAGTGGACGATGGAGGTTGGGACAATGCCAAAGCTATCATTCCTGTCATTTTCAGATTGCAGGCTGGGGGGAGAAATCCCCGATGGATTACTGCACCTTCCATCCCTCAGGTTCGTATCACTGAAGAGGAAAAATTATTTGAGTGACGGCACGGTAGAAGGACTGAGGCAGAAAGGATGCGAGGTAACAGTGCCGTCCCCTCCCTCGTGTACCCCTCCCATTAATTATCTTTGAATAGATTTTATTGCTATTACTACCATGGATGACATCACACTTCGTTTTGCAGGTCACAATAATTAAAGAGTGACGACCTTGACTGGATATATGGTTTGGCTATCCTCTCTTGCCGGAGGAACAAATCTCACAACTTATATATATCACGACGGTCTATCATGCGGCCCTTCAATGACCGTCTTTCTGTCTATTTGATTCAAAAAATGTGCGTGTGACTGTTGAGTATTTTGCATTAAACGGTCGGTACCGTTCTTGGATTTGGATTATCGCAATTCGCAAATTAGCCGTATGTATCCATGATCATTGTACTATTATTAGCTCATGGTTCTTGTCTTCTCTAGGCACAATAAATGAATTCGAACTCTCTCATTTTGTCATCAGATTTTCCCTGCTGTCATGATATTGTATCATAACTAGTATTTGTATCGAATGAGGCGTCAATTGAGATGGCAAGAGCCATTGCTTGAATGACGCAGTTTTGGTACCAGTTTGGCGTGCATGTAACTCCATATGTAATTTCAGCACAAAATTAAGAATACACCTCTGGGTTTATGAGAAATGAGCTGTGTGCTAATATATGCATCCTCTCTGCAGTAGTTGTTACTAGACTGAATTATACAGATCACTAACAGCAGCAGGTCAGTAATGATGGCATCATCATCCATATCCTAAATTTCTGTTACTGCATCAGTTTCAGTACAAAGCAAAAACACCTGCCTCAGATTCAGAGAACGTAACAGTGATGTGGTTAAAAATGTGAAGCATGCAATTACCACGCATATATTGCATGTTTTCCCTGGCCATTCGGTCAAAACTCACAGAAATCTCCAGCGGTGTTGCATTGATCTGGATAGCATCTCTCTACCCTGTCTTCCATCGCCACCTGTTTGCTCCTGAACTGCAAGTTCGCTGTACACCTTTCCGGACCACCTCGGCCTGCTGTGCATGCTATCTAAATGTCGAGCGCTGGAGCAGACAGACCACCTACTGAATTCTGAGAGGTCAACAAACATGGATGGTGATTTCTGCGACTCCACGAAGACGGGAGGCCAGGGTTTCAGTTTCTATTTTTTTTGAGACATAGATTTGTACTTAGTTTCTACATCACATAGAGTCATTGATGTTAAAAATAATTAACACATCGTTAATTATGGGATAATCCCCACTCTTCCCGCACGGGTAGTTCCAACCGTCAGAGCGCTTTTCTCCCTGGAGCGTTGCATCCTTTGCAGGCCTTCTTTCCGGAACAGTCGCCTCCTCTGGAGACACCTGTTGACATTGTATATAAACTCATATCATCTATCAATAATGAGTCACTTGAATCATTTGCTTTGTCTCTCGATTCTGCTTTAACACGTTATCAGCACGCTCTCTGCCAGAGGTTGGGACAATGCCAAAGCTATCTCACCTGTCATTTTCAAGTTGCTTGCATGTGGAAGGAATTCCTGATGGATTACTGCACCTTCCATCGTTCAGGTTCGTATCAGTGGATTATTTAGAACTTTATTTGAATGATAGCACGCTGGCTGGTCTAGGACACAAAGGATGCAAGGTAACGCAGCCGCCCTCCTCCCTCATGCCCTCCTTTAATTTTCTGTTATTCGATTGTACTACAACTACTACCAGGAATGACAACGCCCTGCCTTTTGCAGGTCAGAGGGCGTTGCGATTTTCTCCACGCCGGAGAAGAAGAATAGTACTACTAATCACGAAGGCATTATATGGTCCTATGGCGATGCATGTCTATCAAGTGGCACTTTCAGCGTACGCACGCCTTCCCGTCAGTTTGGCTGAACCAACGTGTGATCGTTGAGTATTTTGTTTTAAATTGTTTGTACTCTTTCCTGTATTGGGATTATCACACACAAGCCATATGTATTGTACAATTATGAACTCATGTTGTTCATTTTATTTTGGCACAGTTAGAGCAACTTCAATGGGGCGATCCATTTCGTCCGCTGCCGTCTGTTTGGGTCGGCGCGGACAAAAAAGCCGGCCCAACGCGCTGACCCAAACGGACGCGCGTCCGCTTTCGTTCGCCTGCCGACCCATTCCCGGCCAATTTTTTAGCCTGATTTGCGTCGGCATGGACACGCGACGGACGCGCGCGCGCTCGCCCTCTTTCTTCACCGGGCCCGCTGGTCGGTAGCACATTGAATTCACACTCTCGCCCGCCTGCTGCGTCGTCGACGCCGCCGGCCATTTTTTTTAGATAAAAATGGATACATAGATAGTTCTAGCGTACACAGATAAAAGAAAAGACCACTATTTGTCGCTTTCTGACTCCGACTCGGTAATGTCCTCCTCCGACGTATGAATGTAGGCGTCAGCATGCTGCTCGTCTTCAAAGTCCGACCCGACGTTTCTCGTAGCTTCAGTTTCAATTGAGCTGCCTGCTTCCGCGAACGCTTGTCCTCCCGGTAGGCGGCTCGCTCCCTCCTCCTCGCGTCCCTCTCCAACCTCCTTTGCTTGTAGAACTGGCGCTCGTCGACGATGTCCTGCGGGAAGCCTCCGCGCCACACCACCAAGGCTTCCACGTCCTTCTCCGCGATGGCGAGGCGATGCTGCCACCTCCGGTGGACACGACGATCCTCGTCGGTGAAAAGCCGCGGGAGAGGCGCCAGATCCTGCGCCCGCTGGCTGGACACGTTGGAAAAATTCATATCCCGACGAGGCCTTAGGAGGCGCCACGCCGCCGCATCGTGCGTGCGGGCCGCCTCCTCTGTGGTGTCGAAGGTGCCGAGGATGAGACGTTTCTCGCGAAACCAGATCTCGGAGAATAAGGCGCTGGAGCGGCGCTCGCGGACTACACGAAAATCCGAAGCGCCCAGGCGGCGAATCGACATGGTGGCGCAGAGGGGGCAAGGCTAGTGAGGGGGGCGAGACGAGTGGGTGGCGGACAGAGTGTGGAGGGAGCGCCTTTTTTATAACGAGCGCCGGCGGCGGCGCGCGCGAACCTTTCCCGCGCGCTGGAACGCCAAAACCAGCGCGCGCGCGAACCTTTCTCGCGCGCTGGAGCGCCAAAACCAGCGCGCGCTAGGCCGCTTTCCCCCGCACGCACGAACCTTTCCCGTGCGCTGGAGCGCCAAAACCAGGACGACGGCATAATCTAAAACGCGCGCGGTCATGAAATGGATCGGCCCGTTGCGCACACTGCCGACCCAAAACTGAAAGAGGACAGACGGCGGGCGGACGGCCGACCCAAACGGATAAAAACGCCGTCCGTTTGGGTCGGCTCGTTGGAGTTGCTCTTAATGAGCACTCACTTCCGCAACAAAGTTTGTCTTGTGTAGTGATATTGTATCATAATTTGTAGTATTGTATATCAAGTGAGGCATCGGTACCAGTTCGGCATGTTAGTAAAGAAAAATCAGAACAAGATTAAGAGCAAGCCTTTGAATTTATCAGAAATGAGTCCTGTACTAATAGATCCGTCCTGGCTGCAGTAACTGTTACGAGAGTGAGTACAGATCATCAGCAGCAACAGGGCATAAACGGATACACCAAAATCCATATCCTGAACTTCTGTTACTGCATCTGCTTCAATGTTTTTCAGAATATGAAAGAACGGCTTCGGTCAGAGAACTGTGATGTGGTAAATAATTTGAAGCATACTTATATGGAACAAAATTTTCTACAGAGATCTTTTCCGAGAGAACAAATTATGGAGGCTACAACTGCAACGTAAAACTTGCATGTTGCTTTGGCCGCGCTTCAGTCACGACTCGCAGCAGCCTTCCCCTCCGCAGGAATCTCCAGCGGCGTGGCATTGTCCGACATCGCCTCGACGAGTGTCATCTTCTCAGCGCCACTCCACGGACTTCTCTGGAGCCTGAACATCTTCAGTATTTAACCGACGCTCTGCATGCTACTTTGCTTTGGTGTTGCTATACGCTACTCTGCTTTTTAAACTCTGTTTGATGTCTGATGGCTTCATTAATTTAAAGCCGAACGCTTCTAACATCTTCATTCTAAAAATATATATATTGTGTTGGAAACACAAACGTGTCAAAACTCAGAAGTCTCACTTACCTCCCTACACTCTTCGCTGGAAAAAAAAAAGAATTTACAAGCTGGAAGGCCTAGAGCTAGAAGATGGTCTGCTCGCCTAGCTCCTGCCCTGCCATTCCTTCCCTTATCACCTTCTCGAAGAAGTGCTCGAGCGTGTCTTTGCCATAGCTCGGCGTCTTGTCGTCGCTATACTCCCCGGTCTCGGGATCCAGCACTAGCATGCTCTCCGACGCATAGTACCTCCCAATTTTGCCGAACTCGGCGGCATCCTCCAGCCCCGGGAAAACCTTAGCCAGTCCATCAAGCACCCAGATGACACCATCCATGACCTGAATGGGCACCCTGAGGAACCTGGGTTCGCGCCCGAGCAGCCGGAACAGCATCTCCCCTTGCTCCAGCGGCGTGAGGGCCTTCCCCGGCCCTCCGATTGGGAGAACCTTGTTAGCCTTCTCCTGGTCGAAGATGCAGTCCGCGATGAAGGAGGCGAGGTCCTCCTCGCTGATGGGCTTGCAGGCGCAGAGCTTGCCGTCGCCGAACATGACGTAGGGGTTGCCCTTCTTGACGGCCTCGACCTGGCCGCCGAGGCTCTTGAAGAAGGCGGTGGGGCGGACGACGCTGTAGGTGAAGGCCGGGTCCCGGGCCGCCTCGGCGGCGAGCTCGCCCTCGAACCTGAGCTTGGCGCGCTGGAACTCGAGCAGCGGCTTCTGGACGCAGACGGCGGAGAGGAGCACGAAGTGGGCGGCGCCGAGGCTGCGCGCGGCCTGGAGGGTGTGGAGCGTGGCGCGGTAGTCGACGCGCCACGAGTCCTGCACCCCGCCGCCGCGGCTGGCGAGGCAGCAGACCGCGGCGTGCACGGGACCGTGTCCCGAGTCGGAGAGGTCTGCGAGGAGGGCGCCCGGGTCGGTGACGTCGGAGAAGACGACGCGGGCGGGGGCGAGGTCGGAGACGACCTCCTCGGGGGAGTTCTTGCCGCGGACGCCGCTGCGGGGCCGGGCGACGGCGACGACGCGGTGGCCGCGGCGGAGCAGCTCGCGGACGACGAAGCGGCCGATGTAGCCCGTGGCGCCGGTGACGAGGACGGTGGTCTCGGAGGGGGGCAGGGAGCGGAAAGGCTGGGCCGCGGCCGGGGAGGGCGACGTCGCAGAGGAGGCGAGGATACTACATCCCCCGCGGCGGCGGCAAGCCTTGGCGGTTGTGAGGGGGAAGGAGAGGAAGCGCGGACACAGTGTGGGGCGGGGAGCGGCGGCGGAGGCGGAGGCGATGGCCGTGCTCTTGGGGAGGCGGGAGGAGAGGAGAAGGGCGGCGGCCATCGTGCTCGACGGAAATGCGGTATCGGACTATCCAGTGTGGGGAAGCCGGCAGGCGAGCGTTTGTGGTGGTGGCGGGGGAGGCAATCCGGGGTTATCCAGTTGACGTGCTCTTGCCGTAATTTCTTTTTGGGCATTCGAATCCTTTCGGTGCTATCCGTACTGTCATGGAATTATTACTTGCTGGAATATACTTAAATAATATATGCTTAATTAAGTTGGTCGATTATCAGTGGAATATAATATATTATTTATATTGGAAAGACTAGCCGGATACACTGATGATTGAAAGGAGCTAGATGTATAGTTAGACTATAACCCTAATATTGATCTATGTAATTAGAGGAATTTACACTCTATTATACCGCATTGCTCACAAGCGCGTGCTCCGGGGACATGACGGATAGAATCCGTTAACAAACAAATATGATCGTGATTGGTAATTTGATATGGACTCTATCCCCAAAATCTATTCTTTCTTGTTGTCGTCTTGGTAGCTCGTGTGCCTGCTTCCGTTCGGCCCAAAGGCTGGTGCTATGTTCTGGCACACTCACCTTCCTGACTTGCAAGAAACACGACATTTTCCTTGCACTTCAATTTTTTTTAAATGGCAACCTGCGCTGGAGCTCTGTGTTTGTTATTTGTTAGTCACCTGAAAATGGTGTAGCTATCCGTTGATTTTCATAGAGAAGAAGATGAGGCGCGGACGGAGCTCCGATGTTGAGACGGAGGCAACACCAGACACCGAAGAGTGACAGCTTTCAGGCCGTGATCTACACGCACGCGATCAGTGGATGCCTCCTCGATCTAAACCCAGGAGGAACTCGAGGACGAACAGAAGAAACACACGAACACGGGAGACAGTTTTGCGACGCCTTAATTCTTGGGTCTTTTCTGTTTCACTTCTTTTCTTCAACGGGGAAAACTAACTGAGCGACTTCTACGCCACGACCCAACATGCTCGCGACATCCCACGGCTTCGGATAGTGGACTCGCTCGTGTGATACAAAAACGCTAGACATGGCCGCAACATGGACTGGGCACGCTTCTGGCCTTACACAAACATGTACGTACAAAATCACGTACAGATAAACTCCTAGGTGTCTACGACTGAAACACAAAGAAGAAAGACGTACAGTCTTAGAAAACTAAGAGCATGTACAATGATTGATAAGACCGTCTTATCTTAAGTCTTGCATGTACTTTAGAGATGATAAAAGAGTATGTCTACAATGGGTTATATCTTAGCCTTATCTTCAATAACTAGCAATTCCTTAAAACATGGTGAGACAAATTATGCTAAGAGATCATCTTTTGTCTTATCTTAAGTAAGAGAAGACAAAAAAAATTTATGAGTTCTCTCTCCTCCACCTCATCATTTATCCTACGTGGCACTCCTAAGATAGCACCATTGTACATGCCCTAAGAAAGATGACAAGGTTAATTAACAGCAACAAAGAGCTACTAGTAGCATATGAAAATGATGATCGTCAACTTCAACACGCTCAAGAACTACACCGAGTGCCAAAAGAAGAATACTACTAGGAATTAATGATGTTGTATTCTAGTCAGACTCCTAGCTAGTAGTACTACTTAGTACAGACATGTGCATGCATCTGCATGTGACGTTTTGTTGCGGTAGCGCCCAGTTCCGCACCAAGAAAACCATACCACAAACACAAGCTAGCCAGTACAGTAATAATGCTCCTCGATCGCTCTCTACTTCATGGCGTGACCAGGTAGCCAATCCTGCGGACACCCGGCCGCCAACCCATTTATGTTTTCGTCTGTATAATTTTCTTACAATCTTTTCCATAGTTATTTGATGGATCCATCCATATTAACTTACCTTGCGGTGTAATTTCTTACATAATAGTATTTGTCTAGTGCATTGCTTCAACGGGACTAAAGGATGCGATGCCCTTTAGTTTCGGTTCGTGTCTCAAACCATGACTAAAGGGTGCGATGCCCTTTAGTCCCGGTCCGTGTC